TGCTTATAATGTGAGGCGAGCACAGTACAGCATAATAGCAGATTAACTGGATAACTATAGCGATGCACAATTACAAAATAATTGTTCAAAAGAACTGAATTGTGAATAGCAATCATTCATCTTCTTTCTTTCTTTGTTCTTTCATTTTTGCTTTTATTGCTTCCGCTTTTGTAGCAAGGAAATTTTATTTTATATCCTCACCCTTTTGTGCTGGATAACTGTTATGATAGTACTATCATAACAGTTATCTGGCAAAAAATTACAGTTGGATCCATAATTACAATGACCCTTTTTTGTAGTTTTCCCTATGTACACCATCACCCTGGGTTATAAATCAGACGGCCTCACAGTGACTAAAGTACAGACCTCCAGGTTATTTAAATTCAAGAGGTTTAACAGGGTAAAAAGCGATGAAGTAATGGAACAAACTAAAATCATTTGAAATATAAGGTAGTGCAGCCACTGAAGCCACCTTCGGTTGCTGCTTGTTTTGGGTTATTTTCCATTCAGCTTTGTCCTCATAAAACAAACAAACAAACTATGATCTATTGGGTGAGACCAGATTATTGACTTGGCCACTAAAGAAAATCTTATTTCGTGACCTAAGAAACTCTTGGGTTGGTTTTGCAGTGGGGATTGGATTGTTATCTGCATGCACTGTGAAGTGGTGTCCAGTGAATTTTGCAGTATTTGACTGCATCTGAACAGAAAGAGCAGCCCTATACACTTCACAATTCATGTTGGTACTTCTAATCAGTAGTCACATCATTAATAAATACTGATAAACTGTTACCACTGGCAGCCATACATGCCAATGCCATACCAAGGCCTCCAATATGTTTGACAGATGATGTGGTATGCTTGATTTAGTCAAGTTTAGAAATAATGCTGTGATAATGTACTTGAGCTGTCTTCTACTGTCAATTGTCAAATTAATTTGAACCTCTGAAAAAAAATACTGTGTATATAAATGGGTGTAATTCCTGAATAGTTAATTAAGTACTTTTGTTGAATTCCTTGAATTAAAGCTGAAAGTCTATAAAACGTGATGCTAATGAATCCAAATAATGGTGTCCTGTGCTGCTGCCCACACCTCTGGTCTGTTGTTTTCTATCCTGTTACAGGTGTCCAACATCTTAACTTTACGACTTTTAACATAAACCTTACTCCTTCCTCCAGTATAAAGATTCAGGCACTGCAAGCCTAAAGGATGAGGAAGAGTTCACGGATATATTGGAGGAGAGGAGGCGCACCACTGATCTTGGTTATGCCCTGAGAACCTTTAACCCGCAACCGTACAAAGGAGCCCCAACCCTTTCCACCTCTGACCTCAACAAAGCTGTACTGGAGTCCCAGTATCTGTGCTATATTATCAAAGAGGTGAGTCTTTTTTTTTTTTTAAATTTAAGGCAATGAGGCTTTACACTATAGCGTTGTCAATATGGAGTCAGTCTTTTTGGCTCATATTCCCTCTTAGATTGCCATGGAGATGGGGTCATCTGTGGAGAAGGTGAAAGAAGATGCTTCTAGGATTTTGAAGGAAATGTCTCACAATCTGCAGCTGGGGTTTATCAGGCTAATGGGCTACACTCTAAACAAGGTGTTCAAGAGACTCTACAGTAGGGCTGGGTATCGTCACTGATTTCTAGAATCGATTCAATTCCGATTCACAAGGTCCCGAATCGATTCGATCCACGATTCGATTTAATTCGATTTAATTCGATTCGATTCACTTCGATTTGAATCTGGGAAATTTTGACAGTCAGAAATATTATAATTCAGATCAGTACATTTACATATTTTTGTATCTATAAAAAGGAA